AGGGTTGCCCCGGCCGGGCGCTCCCTCCCCGCGGCAGGCGGTGGCGGGAACGGTGCTTTACAACTGCGGTGTACTTAGCGCTTGCTTCAAACTAAAAGTAATTGATAGGTAATACCAGAATTCTAGGTAATATGGGTGTATTCGTACTTTTTTCCAACATTGTCTGTAATGAGCGGGGAAGGATGTGATTCTTTGTGTGTATTTCCACTTGCCTGCTTGTATAGAAGAAGTGTCTGTAAATACTGAGCAAAACACACCTCTAAGAATGATCAGCAATGTATCAGAGAAGAAACTTCCCATTCCTAAGTCTGAGAGTTATTTCAAAGCTGCTGATAATTCTGCCGGCTCGTATCCAAGACTGCTAAACACTCTAGAACGTTCAGACTTCCTAAACAGTTTAAGGACGTTCTGAAAGGTAGATGCTACAGTAGGTCTCTTCTATTAACCGTGTTGCCACTGTCCTTTTGCAGCGCCGAGGTTGTTCAGGAAGGAAAAACTTAACAGCATTCCGAAATACGAAAATGATTCCCATGGAAACATCCTCATCCTCCGATAACAGTTGTGACAGTTTTGGTTCTGATAATTTTGCAAACACAGTAAGTAGAGTAAAAGAGCAAATGAAACTGAATACTAGTAAAGCCCGCAAAAATTTAGAGCTGGTAAAGCTAGTAAATGTGCTGTGCGTGATTAAAACCTGCTTGCTCTGCTTATGTTTTTGTATAGTTGTTATAAACCTGTGCTATATGCTGTAATTTCATTTCCCTCTTCACTTGTGATTCTAGGTGGTAATTGTTGGAAACAGATTAGCTATTTATTCTAGCCTTTGAAATGTCACCTAACCTAACATGCCTGATAATTTGCAACTGCAGTTCTGAAATCCTTGCTAAATGCCTTAGCTGTTTTTTTTTTTTTTTTCCCTGTTCTTTATTTAAAAAGCTATTTACTTATACTGCACTTGTAAATGCAAATATTTTTCTGTACAACTTCAGTTAAAGGATATTTTATTCTTCATAGAAGTGCAAGTTTAGGTCGGATACTAGAGGAGAGCTGGCAAAAATTTTTCACGAAGCCTCTGATGATGAATACTTCTGTGGCTTTTCAGAAAATGAGATTCAAGATGCATTGGTAAGAAATTTTTTGGGTTTGCAATTTTTAAATTTAAGTACTTGCGCATTCTTAACTGAAAAACAATGGCAGTTTCGGCTTGAAAGTCAAATGTTATTAGAAGGAAGCATAACATTAATGTACAGTCTAAATAGCTAGTTTCATTTTCTTTTTGTCTCCATAAAAAGCCCTCAAGGTCCTAGATTCAGAATAAAATCTTCCTTGCAGATTTTGAAATGTAATATCTCTTAAAGCTGTCCTTACTGGATGTAACTCTGTTAAGACACTAACATTTCTGTTTTGCACAAAATGAAGTGTTATGTTAGCCCATGGAATCAGCAAGCCTGAGAGAAATTTCTGTGTGTATTGACGTGTGGTCAGGCCTGTACCCTGACAGTGTAACGGGCAACGCGGTACTTCCTTAGTAGGTGGTGACATCAGATATCCTGCTTTTCCTTGACATCAGTGCAAGAGCAGTTTTATTGATTAAGAAGACCAACAGTTGGTGTTTAATAGAGAAAACTGAAGCAGTACTCCATTTTGCATGAGACAGGTTTATCCTAACTGCAGAACGTGCTGAGGAATGACTCTAGAGAAAACTAACATCTGATTGCAAGAGGACATGTCTGAGTTAAATAATACACAAGAGTAAAGAGAATAAGCAGGCGACAATGCTGGAATAGATACTTAAGAAAAGGGAATGAATATCTACATGTAATGGGCAGCCTGAACCACATACTTGGTTTAATAAAAACTCTGTGCAAATAAAGATTGCCATTTGAGAATGATGTGTATGAAGTAGGAAGCCTGTTGTGACCTTCCAGAGTCTAAACCTAAAAATCAAAGCCTATTGAAAAATGGGCTTTTAACTAAAGAAATTAATTTCTGTCCTCACTGAACCCTTGGTTCTTGCAGAGGTTGTAAGTGAGGCATCAGGATTCAAAGAGAAGGAAATACTGGGATTTTACTTGTAATTATTTCATTGGCTGGCTCTAAAAGGAAGTATACACCTGATACCGTTGATGCTGAGGTGACCGTTGTTGACAGTTTACAAACTGGGGTTTGACCCTGTGCTGAGAACTGTGTAGTGGATTTTTTTTACAGCCATATACAGTATGTTGCAAAATCAAACGCTTTAAAGATAATTCTTTCTCGCAATCACACAGAAACTGCCTTTGCAATTAGACCTGCAAGTGACAGGTGAGACTGCTGCAACTCAACCCAAGCTCCTTTTTCTGAAGTGTTGCAGCGCACACTGTGACTCTCCCTGAGAGTTTTTTTATCTCTGTGCCCCACTCTTCTCCTGCCCTCTTCCCTCCTCTCCCTCCACTTAAAATATAGTACAGCACTAGGTCTGGAGAAGTAGACATTTAGATTTCGGCCAGATCATCTCTTTAACCACCCCTCCACAATATAAACATCAAACTGTATTTAACTGTAGAGCAGATCACCTGAATTTATATACTTCCATTCTGGTTTGTTAACAGAAACTGGAATCGGATTTAGAGGAGAATGATACAAGTCCTGCAAGTGAGGTAGCTCAGAGGAGGCAGAAATGCCCTGTTACTCTAAAAGTAGCCATGAAGTTTCCACCTCGAAGATCGGAGAGGAGAAGGAGTGAGTTGGAACCTCTTCCAGAAAAGTTGATGCCTGCTCCAGATTCAGACTCTGACTCTGAAGAAAAGGGTGCCATGTTTTTAGAAAAAAGAGCTTTAAACATAAAAGAAAACAAAGCAATGGCAAGTACTCAGTGTCTGCCTTACTATAAGTAATTGTACTTCTAGCCGATTGCCCTAATCTAATAGTGTGTGGTAGCACGTAAATACTTTAAGTCTTCCTTTTCTTTCCCTTGTTAGCTTGCAAAACTAATGGCTGAGTTGAAGAATGTTTCTGATATCTTTGGTGGGAGAAAATCATTGCCAGCTGTCAGACATGTAAGTATAAACCTACTGTATTTGCCTCCAGATTTCTGAGAGTCAGATTCTGACATTACAAAACAAGACTCTAAATTTAAAAAAACTTAATAAACCATGCAAACCAAAGTCCAGTTCAGAATTTTATTGCTTCCTAAAACAGATGTCCTCACTGTGCAATCTTCTTTTCCTTTGCCACTTACAAAGGAGAACAGATTAGTTCACAAAGGTTAGATGTCTTCATAGGCAAATAAAACTAAACAAGGTGCTGTTTAAGTATTTGTACAAAAGCTGAAGCTAAGGGAGGCAGCTCAGACTTTGAAGTTCAAGCCTGAATATTATGCAAATTTAGAGCCTTGAAACCTTTGGCTTAACTAGATCCCTAAAGGAGGCTGGGTTGCAAGTTGGCAGTGTATTGAGTTTTGCTGCTAATTTACCTGTAAGATGTGTGAAGATGGGAGCAATATTGAAAAGTTGTAACTCCTTGTAGAATGGTTCTGCTGCTCCATGGTGGAATTAGTTTATCTTTGTGCATGGACACAAACTTGCTTTTGACTGTTTCTGTGCAGCTAGCAGGATGCCCAAGGTGAATTTGCCTAGGATGTTTTTCATCTTGTGTTTTCTAATTTGGGCCTGGTGGGAGGCTTCATCTTTGGGAAAGACAGAAGGAGAGAGGGCATGTCTTTAGGGGGAGGAATTCGAAGTAGGTACAGGAGCTGTTTGGGTTTTGACTTGTTTCATTAGGGGCTTTTAAACTTTACCAGGGACCAAAGCAGCTTCCAAGGCGTTCATTGTCCAGAACTGCTTTGAGGAGGAACCCAGACCGAAGTTCTCGGCCTCACACAAGATCCAGGTCCCTGATTGAAGGTCCTCCTACTCCTTTACCAGAAGAGGAAGATGATGACCGGTACATCTTGGTGAGAAGAAGAAAGATGTCTGATGAATACCTGGAGGTATGTTGAGGTTCTAGTTCCACTCTTGCCGGTTGACCATGAAGGTAGTTTTGTATCCCCTCAAGAAAATAGCAATTTGTACAGAGCAATTCATACAGAATTGAGTATGCTATGGTGTGAGAGGAAATAGAGAAAATAGCATGTTCTATGTCTTCTCTATTCCAGCCCACTTTATCCTTGAAAAATCACTTCCTCTTGCACTCCAGCAGGAA